CTCCAGGCTGAACAAGCCCAACTCCCTCAGCCTGTCCTCATAAGAGAGGTGCTCCAGCCCTCGGATCATTTTAGTAGCCCTACTCTGGACCCGCTCCAACACTTCCATGTCCTTCTTGTGCTGAGGGCTCCAGAGCTGGACGCAGTACTCCAGATTAGGTCTCACCAGAGCAGAGTAGAGAGGCAGAATCACTTCCCTTGCCCTGCTGGCCACGCTTCTCCTGATGCAGCCCAGAGTACGGTTGGCCTTCTGGGCTGCCAGCGCACATTGCCGGCTTATGTCCAGCTTTTCATCCACCAGTACCCCCAAGTCCTTCTCCGCAGGGCTGCTCTCAATCCCTTCATCTCCTAGGCTGTATTGATACTGGGGGACTTTTTAATTGTTTCATTAAATAGGAGTAGTCTGAGCCAGTCCTACAAATCAGAGAAATTAACTGAAGGCATGTTGCAAGGGTTGTTACTAACGATATCTGGTAGAAACACAATCTTTTTGGCAAAGCGCCTTACTAAGGCTCCCAGGTAGGCTGTCTGCAACAAATGCAAACTAAGGTTTAAGGTATGCACACAGAATAACTTTGATCCTTTTAAGAATCTGGTTCAATAAAAGCAGTTACATGTTTGTAATTTTCATAATATCATAGCCAACATGGGACTGCATTCCAAAACCAAGTTAAAATTAGGGATCTGCTACAGTTAAGTGGAGATCTAAAGACTGTAAAAATTCAGCTGATCAGAAGAACAATAAATAGCAGATGTAAAAGTGTGGCAGCAATCCCAGGCTGATGTACCGGTTTACATGAGTCATAGTAACAGTGGAGTGCAACTATGAGAGGAGTTCTGCCGTACTCAGGCTTTCCATGAATCTTACCAGGGCAAGTGGTAGGATGGAGTGGAAAAGAAATAAACTGTTCTGTCTGATATATTTAATTCAGAACCTTCTAAGAAGTCAATTCACAACTAAGTTTGAAAAAGTCAAAACCTATTGACTTGTTCACTAAAATAGTGGTCTGAGGCTTATGTATAACACCTTGCTTCAAACATAAATTAGCCAATCCACTTGACAAAGGCTGTAAGAGTTACCTGAAGGATGAGATGCTGGCACATTTTACATCATATTATTTCTATCATTTCAAGCTTCATAGTACACAGAGTCTATGTTGTCATCTTAGTATCAATTTATATCACTTCTAATTGGACTAGAAAATACTTGAGCAGGAACTTTCTTTGCTGATATCACAGAGCACTGCAAACAGATTCTCAGTTGTTTTCATCAAGCACAGATCACAGAATCACAGAATTGCAAGGGTTGGAAGGGACCTTGCTCATCAGCGGGGATATGCTTTCTTTAACCATCCTTTTCGGGCTGATATACCTGTAGAATCCCTTCTTATTATTCTTTGCATCCCTAGCCAAGTTTAGCTCCAGCTGTGCCTTGGCCTT